GGGGTACCCTGCGCTATGTTGCGGGTGTCAGTGCGACGACCCCGACAACTTCAGATGACAGCGGGTCATCCCGCACCAACGCACCGACATGAACTCCATTGCGGCACAGGTACATCGCCTATGGGTACAGTTGATGATAACTAACACTCGGCGATACAGAGAGATTATGACGCCCCTTTCACAACGATTCCCGGCCACGGCCGTCACCAGCATTTCGCCGTCGGCGGACGCGACCGCATCGCTCACCTCCTGTCCACATTCCCCGAAGATGTCGACAACACGGAAAAGTGCAAGCGCATGATTGATCTCTTCCTCGTCAGTGTGTTGCTTGACGCCGGTGCCGGTACACAGTGGAGCTATAAGAGCAACGAGAATGGCCGCATCTACAGGCGATCTGAAGGCATTGCTGTTGCTAGCTTGGAGATGTTCAAGACCGTAAGTTGGAGCTTTAGTCTGGGTATCGCTCGTTAGGCTGACAAGATTATCAGGGTCTGTTTTCTGGTAACAAGAACAACAAGTACCAGGTCGACAAAGAGGGCTTGGCGAACCTAACCGTCGACAAGCTCGCCCAGGGACTGCAGTCTGGACCGGGTAACGAGATGGCTGGCATCGAAGGCCGCGCCCAGCTCCTTATTCGCTTGGGCCAAGCTTTAGAGGAGAAGACCGAGTTCTTCGGCGCGGATGGAAGACCTGGAAACATGCTCGACCACATCCTCGACCACCCCTCGACACAGGCGACAAACGGCTTGATTGTTCCCCTCCCTGTCTTGTGGAACGTCCTCATGAGTGGCCTCGCTCCTGTCTGGCCGCCATCGAGGACTGCCATCAACGGCGTATCTTTGGGCGACGCTTGGCCCTGCAGCTCCATGCCTCAGCCGGCCCAGTCGCCCTCGAGCCCGACATTTTCGCCTTTCCCAAACACCTCTGGCCAGTCCAACGGTGTTGCGCCCTGGGAAAGCATTCTTCCCTTCCACAAGCTCACCCAGTGGCTTACCTACTCGCTCATGCAGCCCATGCAGAGCATTATGAAGATTCAGTTTGCTGGCCAGGAGCTTCTTACTGGCCTTCCCGAGTATCGCAACGGCGGTCTGTTTATCGATCTCGGCGTCCTCACATTGAAGAAGGAGGATATGGATCGCGGCTTGGCGCATTACACCTCGTACTGCGAACGCACCGGTACCAAGGAGAACGAAGTGGCTCCCATGTTTGAGCCCAGTGACGATGTCATTGTGGAGTGGAGAGGTGTCACCGTCGGCTTCCTTGACAAGCTTTGCGTTGAGGTCAACAAGGTTTTGGCCAATGAGCTGCAGGGCAACGAGCTTACCCTTGCTCAAGTGCTAGAGGCTGGTAGCTGGAAGGTGAGTTCGCTTCTTTATTCTCGACTATTCTAATGATTCACTTGCTAACTACTGTTGCTTTACAGGGTGGCCGTGAAATTGCCGAAGTCAGCCGACCAAACACCAAGGAACCTCCTATTCTTATTGATAGTGACGGCACCGTATTCTAGGAGAAACGGGATTCCATTCTGGTATGGAATGCATTGCTGTTTTGATTCGGGTATTACTATACGAAGGGAGAAAGGTACAAAAAAGAACGAAATCAAGTTCAGGAATAACCTGGACCAGCCTGACCACCAAAAAGTCTTGGGAGGTCAGTATGTATATGGCCAAATTGCTCATGTCGGACATGGTACGAGCCGGCACACAAGGTGTTATGATGTTACGAGAGGAACCTTTGGTTGGGAATTGTGTTCTGGGGTGGTCTAGTCTAGTCTGGTCTAGCAACTTGTTGTCTGCATTGCCCTTCGTCGTCCTTTTTCCGTCTGTCGATGAACTTTTGGTTTCCTTGTCGTTACTTTTGCCGCGCATGGATTTGTATTATAGGCTTTTTCATCGCAGTTATATATAAAAGCCCAAATGCCGAATCAATAGCCCCTCATTTTCTCGAATACATATTTTATGGTCTTCGAAGTAGGTTTTATGTACTCCACATGTCGTTGTTCCACCTCTTTGAAGATCATGAAGATATATTACGAGCCAGTTGGCTTCACCCAAATACACCAAATCTGGACACTTAACATCCAATCGTCCATTAATGCATAAAAATCCGTCATATACACCAGACACCATCTCCAGGCCCTAACCCAGGCCACACGGGTAAACGGGCTGGGGAGTTCATGCATTTAACGGCTTCGGCAACGGTACCGAACCGTACCGTCGACGCTTTGACATAACCCTATATCAACGTTTTATAGCAGGTCGCATTCCAGGTATCAACTGGATGCTTGGACCAGCAGCCCGGGGTAAGGACAGAGACATATACTACATACACATCCTACAACATACATATACCGAATTGTGAGCCATGACCGGCCTGGTCAAAGGGCTGGTCGAGCTTGAGCAGACCCGGTCAACTTGTGTCGAGTTCACCACCGCGCCACACGCACTACTCACTGACTTATGGTAGAGGAGGGCGATGCTTTGTGGTCGAGAGGGGAAAGAACAGACTTCACGGCTCGGTAGATAGAGGTAGGTTGTCATTTTCAAGAAGCTCTTTTGACTCGAACCTCGCGACCATTACGAGTCAACTTGAAAATGAACAACAACAAGTTCTGGACAAGAAGATTCTTAAGAAGCCAACAACGCCCTCTTCCATTCCATCCCAGGTCACCATAGGCAGTTCAACGGAAGAGACAACAGAACTTTGACCCACTCACTCATCTTATCTGATCTCCGTCTACAGACTAAAAACCCACGATTATCTTGTCTTTTTGGTCAACACCATTTGTTTACATAAACTTTACAATGCCCTCCCAAACACAGCCACCACCCCCTTCCAACCTAATCTCCAATCCCTCTGAATCCCACCAATCCAGCATCATCGCCTGCTCCATCATCACTTGGATCATCGCGGCCTTCTTTGTCACTCTGCGGTTTTACACTCGGGGAGTCATCTTGCGTGGTGGAGGTGGACAGGGTACAAGTAAAGTGTTCGGGGTGTTGGGAGCAGAGGATTGGGTTTTGCTGACGGCATTGGTGATGAGTGGGTTGATGAGTGGGGGGCAGGTTGAGCGTAGGTCTTCCCTCCTTTTCTCGGTCACGTCTTGTTTGCTTGTAAGGAAGGAAGGAAGGAATTGCTGATGGAATTCTGTTTTGCTGCAGAAGCTGTATACGGATTAGGAAAGCACGCGTTGGATGTTGATCCAGCAATGGTTGTACCGATGGGGAAGGTACGTTTTACACTCCGTCCTTCTTTCCTTCTTTTGTCCCTTTTCCTTTTTTTTACTCCTTCCCTCTCCCACCCTCTCATTGTCTTTTCCATGCTCAGGTCGAGCCCAGCCCAACATCCCAAACTGACCTTCTCAATAATCGCAGGCCGGCTGGTACACAATCCTCTACTACATGCTCTCCCTCCTCTTCACCAAGATCTCCATCTCGCTGTTATACATCCGCATCCTCTCCTACCAACACGCGCGCTACCTCGTCTACCTCATCCTAGGCGTGGTAGTGGCCACAAACGGAATATGGACTTTGTACACGGTGGTAACCGCTTGCGATCCCTTGCCGGCGTTTTGGGGTGACCTCCCTGGAGGTAAAGACCGTGACACGTGGAAGTGCAGGCGGGTGGCATACTGGTACGCCAACACGGCACTTCACATCGGGACCGATGTGCTGTTGTATGTCCTGCCGTTGCCGGTGTTGGTGGGATTGAAGGTGGGTTGGGGCAGGAAGGTTAGGTTGTTTTTGGTTTTGGGGTTGGGTGGGCTGTGAGTATATTTCTTTCTTTCTTTACATTCTCGTGTTTTGTCTGTGATCAAGGGAAGATACTTTGACTGACACAAGAGATGAAATGGACACACACAGAGTCTGCCTAATCTCCTCCATCCGCCTCTGGGACCTCGTCGCCGAAGCTTCCCGACCTGACTTCACCTTCGACAACGTCAGCATCGCCTACCTCACTTGCTCAGAGGTCAACGGGGCTATTGTTGTTGCTTGTTGCATGACTCTGAAACCTTTCTTTGACCGTGTTTTTTCTTCTCGCCTGGGGCGCCTACTACGGTTGACGACATCTGACAACAGTGCAAGCAAGAGCGATATTGGGGAATCGGATATTGAGGCGCAGCGCTACTGCAAACAAAATGCTATTGCTAGAAGAGCAGGTGAGGGTCCACCTACTATTGGGTCAGAACCATCGGCGAAGAGGAAGGGTTCATGGGCTTGGTTGTATACGTCCACTACGTCTTCTAACCACAGTCGGCCGGATGAGGGTGACTTTGTATTTCCGAATCAGACTGGACAGGTCCACCAGCTTTCGGGAAAGGGGGAGTTAAAGACTGCCAATGTTAAGGAGCGCGACGCTGACCTCTCTGACTCGAATCCTGGATCGCCGGCGTTGAGCTCCAGGAGTGAGGCGTCGTGGGACCTGAAGGAGGAAGTGACTGTTACAAAACCAGTGGCAGTTTGTCTCAAGGGTTAGTTAGCTGAGAGAAGTCGGTATAACAGTCCCGTAATTCCAGTTTAACCATCCTGATTGAAGGAAAACTGTGTGATCAGCCGCCAACAGCCGTGCAAGCCATCATTAATTTCGATCGCTTTTGGTAACTACACCAGTGTCAATTTGCAGAACTGTACTACAATGTGGTCAGTTAGTCAATGAAACTGAACGAGAGTCGAATGAGGGCGAAGTGTCCGAATGTCATGGAACAACTTTGGTCGAAAAATAAATGGAATTGAATGAAGTTGGTATTAATTACTCGCTGTCATTGAAAATGGAACAGGAAGGAATGAGATCGATTAAGAGCAAGGAAATGGGACCACGATGCCAAAGCGACTACTACTTACTGTGCCTTACCAATACTTCGCTAAAATAGGCACGGAGCGTAGAGAAGAAAACGTAGGGAAGAAAAAAAAAAAAGAGACGAAAATGGCAAAAAGAACTGGACCAGAAAAGAGGATTGAGAAACCACTAAAAGATGAAATTGTGAAAACATCCAAAAAGATTGCGGTTTGTGTGGATCGAACACACGACCTTCAGATTTATGAGTGAAGTGGACTTCAGTCTGACGCTCTCCCAACTGAGCTAAACCCGCTGATTGGTGATTATGCAACCAGAACGTCCTTATGTAAGTAGTAGTAGCATAGTAGCCAGTCACGGAAGAGCTTCCAACCTATTGGAGTCTTTCGAGTCTTGGTTCCCTCTTCGTCATCCACCAATTTCGTGGGCCTACCGAATAGTACCAGGCATGTATATTGAAATTAACTGAACCTTGATTCACGAACGTAAACGATTCAAGCTTGGAGGAGAGATTTTGATTGTAAAATTGGTCTACGTTCAAGCCTCATACTTGCTTGGTACATCCCTTGTCTCGTTACTTACACAACAGTCGAGCTGTATCTTACACCCTGTCAATGCCCATGTGCCTTTCTTCTGTTTCACGACACAAAACATGTTTCGAACTCTGAGGGTGATGATCATGGTAACCAAGCCATTGATCGGTGCTCATACATTCAATTGCACTTGCACTCGGTTACCTCTTGCCCCAGGCAAACGATTCTTATATCAACTTCAAGAGGGGGTGACCGGAGCCCATGAGTGAACCAGGCGGAAGGATGTGAAGTAGAAAACACCGTGAAGATCAAGATCTAGACCCAGATAATAAACAGTATCCTTTTCTCTATCCCAAGTGACCAACAGTCAAAAGGCAGAAAGTAAACTGGAATATGAACAAGGAAGGATCCCGAAGTCCGAGAGGAAGCAAGTTAAAAAGAAGCTACGAATAATTTTCGCTGAAACAAGTTGCCTCATGTGCAAGAATACGACCATATACAGAAATCAGACAAAATAAGAACAAGAAAAAGAAAATCATGACCGCCACCCCTATTCAGCCCATTTTCTCCATAGAACGCCTCATATTTTTGTGTTCTCGCGTGACTCCATGCTCGCTGAACCGATATCATGGAAGAATCCTTTTTTTGTACCCCAGCCGTCTGTTCTAACATTGCACCCAAACCCCCGTCTGATCTTGTGCCCAAAGCCATATATCGTTCTAAGGTATATGCCGAAACTAAGAATGAAGGATATCACGAAGGGAAGGGAATGGTGACCGTGATGGTGCACTTGCAGAAGCTCAGGCCGTGTAGTGTGTATGTACTTGCGTGAGTTCGGGGAAGGTTGCAAAACTAGCCTTGCCAAAGGCGTTCGATGACCGTGAGTAACTTCAGGAGTCCTTGCGTAGCTTGCCCCGCCACAGGCGCTCGAAAGGTATCAAGGGGTATGTTTAATCAAGATCAACTAAAGTGCCTTGGAAAAATAAGGCGGCAACCAACAGCTGGTTTGCCTCCCTCTCTAGCAGTTGCCAGCTGCATTTGCCAACAATCCGCTCTCTTTCCACACTCATAACCCTCATACAGACTTCGATAGCCGTTGGGTCCGGACGCTTCGTAAGTGCCACCTTACTGCGGTATGTCGATAGCCAATGTTCCCGGATGCTATGTAAGTGCCACCTTACGCAGTCTTGGGAGCGTTCTGCATCCACGAAGGCAGAGCCTTCCAGCCAGCGGCATTAGCATCGAGCTTTACACGCCCGAAGTGCTCATCGAGATCCAGGAGGATCTTCAGAGCATTACGGGAGCGAGTGTAAGGGCTGTCGCCCCCGATGCGGTCCTGAGCCAAGGCAACAGCCTCGGCAACACCGGCGTGCATCTTCTCGGCCTTCTGACCAGGATACGGCAGAACACCCTGGAGAAGCTCGTAAGCGGCGAGAGTGAAACCGAATTGCGGGGAGGAGCGGAAGATACGGGCAGGGCCACCCTTGAAGAAAGCGCGGAAGCCTTCCTCCTTCCAGATGGTCTTAGCCGCATGCCTGAGGCCGGTATATTGAGTATCGCCCTTGCGAGCTTCGACCTGCAAACGAGTCTTGATGACGTCGCAGGGTGTTGTGAGGTAAGCGGCGGGCATACCGGCAATGGCACCGGCGGTGAGAAGCTGGAGAACGCCCAGCTTCTTGGTTTGAGACTCGCCGAAGAGGTCCTTCTTCAGGTGGGAGTAGGTTGGGAAGTAGATGGCCGAAAATGGCACATCACGCAGCAGGCAGGCGGACGCGCCCTTGTAAAGGCCGACCAAGCCCAAGTTCCGGACGATCCACATGGCAGAGCGCTTGGGAGCGCCCTCTACGCTCTTGGCGACCTCACCCTGGACTTGAAGTCTGATCTTGACGATCTCCAAGGGATTGGTAAAGACCTATCGTGCAAGCAAACAGTTAGTATTTGAAATAACAAGGGCCATGTGCACAGAGAGGTATTCAAAGGAACTTACCACTTGACAACCACCGGCAGTACCACCAGCGATAATCTCATGGATAACAGAGATATTGCCCTGCTTATCAGAAAACGCGCCACGAACAAGATCGTTGACAGTAAGCTTGATGGCTTTTTCAGGGGCGACACCGACAAGCTGGGGCAGGACACCCGAGTACAGACCGCGGAAACCTTCGTTGCGAACGACCTTCCTGAAGCAGTCGATCGAGTTATCGTAAAGTCGGCTGCCGGGCGAGGCACCTCTTTGGTTCTGCATACGGGTCTTCACGAGATCGATGGGGTAAACCATGAATGCACCGAAGGCGCCTGACAAACTGCCGAGGATAAAGTTGTAAGCCGACTCGCCTGCCTGATGCATGAACTGCTGGCCCTTTGTCTGCACAGCCGGGGGCAGAAGCCTGGCCTCGGCCTCATGACGGTTCCTCCATGTTGGGTCAAGAACCTTTGCGAAATCCTCAAGACTGAGTCTGCCTGAAGGGTTACCAACGCTCGCGAAGTGGAACAGGATATCCGCCTCCATGGGGGTGAAGAGCGAGAAGCGGGTGATCTTCGCAGCCTGGTTGAGGAACTCGGTGCGAGTGATCTTTCCATCCTGGCTCTTGGCGCAAGCCTTGCGAATAATGAGCTCAACCAAATCCATTTCCTTAATCATGTTTTGGAATGCTCGGACGTTCGCATAAGAGACCTTGCTTCCCTGGGAGATGTTGCAGAGGGTATTGAGGTTTTCGAGGAGATGATCGGAGAGTTTGTGTTTTGAGGTTTCCATGATGATGCGCTCAAAGTCCTCCGGCTCGATGAAGCCATCACCATCCTTGTCAAAGAGCTGGAAAGCCTGGCGGATGCGTTCGCCCTGCAATCCTCGAAGCATCTGAGAGAATTGCTGGTAGTCGAGGTTGTGCCTTTTTGTCTTGCTTCCAATGTAAAGCTTGGCCCATTCGCAGTCCCAATCGAATGGGATGCTATCGGGGCCCTTGTTGAGCTCGTAGAGCCGGCGGAAGTCGTCATACTTGACGGTTCCTAGGCGCTCGACATCGAATAGGCGGAACGCAATCTCGTACTCGGCGTCGGGCTTTTCAAGGAGATTTTCGAAGTAAGTCCAGTCGGACAAGGTGACCTTCCCCTTGTTTGTTCGGTCGGCGACACTAAACAAGATGCTGTATTGTTCGCGCTTGATTTTATGCTACATTCGGAGATGACGGGCGCAGGTCAGCCAACGTGTCGCAAAGGAAAAAAAAAAGTGACAATGGCTTGAGGTGTGACTCACATAGTCCTCGTGAGGAGGAGCGACGGCATCAATGAACTGGTCAGGGCCTAGATAGTACTCGCCCGTCTCGGCATCCTGGACGGCGTAGCGAACGAAGCGCGCCTTGTTCTGGGCAGTAGGCTGCACCTGGTCGGCGGCGGCGTGCTCATCGGAGCCGATGAGGGTCTCCTTGACCGCTTCCTTAACAACCGCAGCTGTGGACATGGCGACTCTGTGTGGCAGTGAAGCAGCTTGACGCGGTGCGCAGGCAGGCTGGGTACTTTGTACAAGCAGAGAGCAGGTATGCGACGCAGGGGACGATCTTGTGCGCGAAGAGTCAAAGCTTTGCGTCTGTCAAGGTTGCGGGATCGCGGCTGGTGAAATGCGTTGCGAATTGTCGCACACGCACTGGCTGCACTTCAAAGTTGTCGGCGTGAGTGGGTCTCAGGGTGTCGGATCTGGGGCCTCTGATGGGGTTGCGAGAATTCTTGAGGCTGGAGACGAACGGAGGAGCCAGACAGCAGAGAAGGGGACAGAGAGGGCGACAGCTGCTGTGGACTCGTGGAGGTGCAGGCCGAGCTCGGGATATATCGCAGGCGGACCGTAGGCCGTAGCGGATACGGAGCCAGTTTTTTTTGGACACGATGTGACGGCAGCCCAATGCGACGGAGCCACGGTTGGACGGCCCACGGCGGGGAAGAGGGGGATCGCTGGCGAAGACTGCACCCAGGTAAACAAACCCCGGTCCGGATCGAAGAAAAAACGGAACTCGTCACGCGGGTAATTCTGCCGACGACAGCTGAGGCCACGCTTCACAGCGTCTTTTGGAGTCTGGGACCCTTGGCGAGAAGAAGGTGAGGTGAGAGAGAGATCAGAGACCCGACACGACTGCGACGGACACCCAGAGTTATGGGTTTTTGATAACTAAAAGAGAGACAGTGAAAGATGTCAAAGTACGTATGACTCTACTGAAATGACTGGGATAATGTTCCAGAACGAACGATTGTAGATGGAAGAGAGAGTGAGATGCGGAGTGGTTGTCGTGGTCGTGGGGGTGGGGGACTTCAAATGCGAAGGTCGGGATCGCGCAATGAAAGTGGTTGACGAAAAAAGAAGCAAAAGAAAATTTCAATTACACTATATAAAATTGCGTGTGGCCGAGACCTCACCGGATCCCTTCACCTCCTCCTTGGCCTCAGGTTGTCAGATCCAGATTTCTATGAAGGTTCCTGCCGTGACTTCCTCTGTTTCACGATACTGCGTCCCCCTACGACTGATTGCCCCTGCCGTTCCCGAGATTCGTTCATCCAGGGTACCGTCGAGTCACACAACACCGGTAAGCCTTGAGCTTCCCTTTTATTTGAACAAAACAACACACAACGGATTGTTTCCTTCCCTTCCGTCCTTCCCCGTGGTATAACAGGCCCGGCCCGGCCAGATCGAAACCCCGTTTTGATACATATTTCGGAGTTTACGATTTCTTGCCAAGCCAACACCAAGGTTGAAAACTAACTTTAAACCTTCCGAAGC